AAAGACATCATCACATTTAACAGCTGATAATGAGAGTTGAATAAAAAACACAAAACCTGGGCGTAATCGTACTAATAATACGAGCATGTTAGTGTTTCTCCAATGTTTGCAGCTTTTGAAGAAAAGCAAGCCTTCATCTGGTGTTTCTTTTATTTTGTCCAAACTTGTAATCAATTCCAGGTGGAAGAATAGAATAAAACTAAATTCCTTTAAGAAATTTACCATGAATACAGTTTTGCCCTCTCCAGGTCCTCCCTCTACCACCATCATCCTCCTTTGGCCTGGACCTGCTCCACTATCTCGACAGCCCCGGACATCAGCTTTGCCCTGCCGAAGAACTGCCTCTGCAACGCCCCCTGGTGCACCTCCTGCTCAGTCACTTCGGACACAGCCTCCGCCTCGTCGTCCTCCTGCACATGGGGAATAATGAGGTGTTGTTTGCAATATATTTTATGTTATGGCTATATTAGCCAATTGCTGACGAAAAAAATAAAAAAAGAGACTGCACGGTAAATTAGGGTAATTTTAGTGGTTTTACACAATGGTGGAAAGTAAAGTATAGAAGTAAATTATAATTTTGAGGCACTTAAGTATTTCTATTCTATTAGGGTCTTTTATACTTATACTTCACAACATTTTAGAGGAAAATATTGCACTTTTTACTCCACTCAGATTAAGATTTTACATTAAAAAAAACAAAAAACATATGGACTTGTTGGAGTAGTTAATAATGATGCATTAATATACATTAAACCCAACAGTATATGAACACGTTAAAATAACTCCACCACCACTAACTAGATAATTTAAATATGTTTACATATTTCTACATCTTTAATAATGATCCAATTATAATATACAACACTGACCGGGAAGTACTTTTACTTTTGATTGATTTTGATGCTAATGTACTGTATTTAATTTTTGACATTTTGAAAGCAGCTTTTGATGTCACTTTCTCAATACTTCGTCCACCACTTGGTTTCCCATATCCATGTTTAGTTAATGAGCAGTTTGTAAATTAAATTGACTAAATTATCAAAATAACTAACTTCAACAAATTGCTTTACTACGGCCATCCAGAGGTCTTCCAGCACGGCCTTGCCAAAGTGGTCCAGGTTTTTCAGATATGGTCTCCCCTCCACAACGCCTCCCCACTCACATGGGTAACTATGTCAGAAAAACACAGTAGGCTCAACTAACACACTAAAAATTATATTTTAGTGGTAAAACTATATGCTATTTTTTTAAGAATACTTCATCAGTTGATACCGAAAAACCAGTAGGTCTACCAAAAAACTACTTTTCAAATTAAAGTATTATAAAATTATAGTGAATTATTGTTTTATTGCCACAGCAGCAGTATAAAGAAATGACCGAGATGACTCACTTTTCAGTGACCTTGACTTCACTTTCCCGGATCCTGCTCTTCAGAGAGGCCATTTTAGACTCTGCCTCCTTTGATTCAGGAACAAAGTCAGCTCTCCAAGCCACCGGAACTGATCTGAGAAACAGAGGGCAGTTAAATTAAAACAGAAAATGGTTTACCAGCAAAGTAGTACTACAGCATCGAAACCAACTTCAGGGAACCACAAATACCATCTACATCCTATGCCCATTTTGTCAGAATGATCAGAAAGAGTTAGTAATCCATTTAATTGATTTGTTCATTCAAACTTAAAGAGCATAAAAGAGAAATGTTTAGACAAATTGTCATGTGTGAATGTGAGCATGGATTGCATACTTGGTGATGTTTGGATCTCTGAAGTAGCAGAACATTCGCTGGTGTGCTGTGTCGGGGAAAAGAGCCTGAAACTGACGGATCTCCATCTCTGTGATGGACAGGCCTGCAGGGGCCGACGCCAGCTGCACACAAAGAACATTTAAAATTCAAATTCACATTTAAAAATAGACACATTCACTTTTACATGTAGTTAGATTTTTCTGTGCATTATATCACAAAATCTAAATATTTCTACAGAGGTCTGATCTGTAACAATAACGTAATAGTTACTGTTGCTGACATTTCTCCCTTTTAATATATTTTAAACCTTTCCAGTTGCTAAAAATAAAGCAGGTTCTTGCACAGAATAAAGAATCAGTTCTTTATATAATCAAAGAGCAATTAACACCTTGTGTACACAGATCTACTTACTAATTCTTTAATTCTTTTTCATGAAATCTTACCCAGCTGTACTGTGGCAGGTCAGGGAGGACAGGTTTGGGAGGCACCAGGCCGTACCTCTCCCCCAGGATTCCCACCATCATCTGGCTGCGGCAGACCTCTGACAGGCACAGCTCGGTGGCTCGCCCCGACTCCTCCTCCGTCACTCCCCAACGCAGCTCCACCTCCTGCAGGTAGAGGCAGTGTGACGCAGCACGACGCCGGAGCTCAGGAAACACATTCCGCACCAAGATATCGCGCTCAGCGTGCATGTCTCTGAAGGTGGAGGAGATAAACACACGTACACCTCGCCACCTGAGGACAGAGGAAGGAGATGGTGTTAAACTAGTGACTCAAAGGCAGGGCGAAAAATGTCTTGGAAAGCGGGCCTTTAATGTTAAGCATCAAGTCAGAAAACTGCTCAGAATTGCTTTTATCCCCATGAAAATAAAATGACCTCAACTTGGGGCTGGCTGGTATTGGGACAACTCTGTTTGTTGTCTGAGTGCCTTTAGCTCCCTCTGGTGGTGGGATGTTGTGCAGTCTGTCTAAATGCTCCACATGGTCCAGCAGCCTGGATGATCCTCTTTCTGCCACAAACCTGGTCACATAGTTAAAGAAATAGTTCAAAGGTGTGGGAAATACATTTATTCTTAAATTTATTTATTCTTGGCAAGAGTTCAATGAAAAGAGTTAAAGATATACTGAACAAAATTATTACGTAACACTTTTGTTTTTGCCCCCATTCATCATTTTCAAGTGGCCTTTTGTTGTGGCCAGCCTAAGGCACCCCTGTGCAAAACCCATGTTTTCTGATCAGCATCTTGATAAGTGTTTGATAAGCGTTTATAATTTTGTTCAGTGTTGTTCCCACTCTCATGTCTCTAGGATAAATATGAAGCTACAGCTAGCGGCAGGTTAGCTTAGCTTACCATGAAAAATAATAAATAAATTAATAAATACATTCCCACCTTTATCGATATATCATAACCAGAAACCCAAGAGTTTGCTTTAAAGTGCCAATGGGCTTAAAATTATTACATCTATATAAATCATCTGTTTTTGGATTAAAATGAATAACCAGACATTTTACCTCAGTATTTGTTCACTGAAGCCTGCCAGCTCCACACAGTTCCTGTCAGCGATGTACTCTGAGTTTCTGCAAGCAGTAAAACATTAAATGCATTCAGGAAAAGTTTGAAACAAAAACAAGCTGGAAGCTAAATCTCAGTCCATTTGGCAAGTTCACAAAAACAACATAAAAAGTACCTGCCTGTGCTGAAAAGAAAAGTGTAAAGTCCATCAGTCACTGTGATAGATGTGAGTGCAACTTTAGCTTCCCAATGTCTGTGAGATATAGGAGTAATAGCAGCTACAGCAGCACATTGGAACATTACCTCTCTGACAAGAGGATTCTCACAAAGAGGGTTTTGTGGTTTATTTCCTTCTTGTAGTTGTTGATGGTGTACTCGACATCATAATAGTTCCAGGAGTCAGTTACCGTGATGATGTTGTCCACCTGAGCAACAAGGTCAAGGATTACAAGGAAGCATCTTGTACTGTTATCTAAAGCAACGGCTGTCACCCTTTTCTGATCCTTAATCAAAACAGAAGTAACCTGTACCTTAAATTCCAGTATTGGCTCAGCAAATATCATTAAATCGCAGATGCAAGTGTTAAAATGTAAAACCTCAAAGACAGAAAGGCCACAGCTAAAAATAAAAGACTTGCATGCAGGTGGAACATCTTTCTGCCTTGTCAAATGTAAACCTCGAAACTTCAGCTGTCTCTTTTGTAAAATTGATTGTCTGATAAATGTGCATGACTGAGCTGCAAGCCAGTTCCATTAGGTGCTTTTAAGCATTTATCACACAAAAGTAAAGACTTTATAATCAGTTATTTATTTAAAATTTCTTCCCTTAATAAATTTCCCTTAAAGATCACTGATCTCTGTTTTAATCATAAATGTGAGAAAAATCTGTCAAACATATCAAAATAAACCATGTATGTACAAATATACTAACCTTGTTTTTCTTGGTGAGCAATGTGGACAAGTAATTGCAGTCCTTAGCATCATCTGACTTATTTATACATGCCTGCAAAAGAAAAGTATTTATTAATAAAGCCAAAATTGACTGAATAGTAACATCCTTCTGAACACAGCTCAAATGTTAGTCTACTAATGCAGAAATATAATTCAGTAGTGTCCATCCATATTTAACTTATTTTTGAAGTAAATTAGATGTTTAATCATTCTACATAAAATTAATGCTGGTATGAGACGTTAAAAGAGGATGAAAAAACATTTTCATGACATGACACACAGTAGGATGCCACAGAAAAAAGTCCAGACCTCTACTTGCTCCATCACACTCCTGACATTATCCAAGAGAACATCAGACTTCAGCTTGACTTCTTCGCAGTGACTCCAATCAGCTAAGCAGAGCTGACTGTCCTCGGCACTGCTGCCAATCATCAGAGAGAGAAGAACTGCCACCTCCAAATCTGAGAGAACGTAAGAATGAGGAGAGATTAGTGAGAAAAAAAAGAATACAGTTCAAATAACACTAATTGGTATAGAGTTTTCTGATTTCTTTTCAAGTCAAATTGCTCAGATGTCATTCTTCCTTTTTGTTATTGCTAATCAGAACACAACAGGCCCTTACAGATGCAGTGAGCTTATTCTCCTCCTCATTCTTCTTCTTCACCCCTGTCCTTGTGCACACTTCTTCTTCCTCTTCCTCCTCCTTGTTTTGTTCCTTGAGATCTGGCGGGAGGCAGAAGTCCGTATTCTCATTCCAGGACCGATAACGCCTCAAGTTAGCAGACAGCACGATAAGGGTTCGTCCGGGGAGCGGGGGCACATTGTAACGACAGGAGATCTGAACCGCCGTCTCCAGAGCTTTGCGGTAACGGTCCAACAGAGCAACAGAGTACAGGATCTTACTGGATGGACAGACACAGAAATCGTTGCATTATATAACTGAGTACATCCATGCACGTTTTAAAATAACACAACCGCAACAGGCGGTCAAAAGCACTTCTTATCTGCATCTTTGAATGCAGAGAAAACTACTAAAATTCAAAGGACATTCTCATACTTGGCCTTCAGGAGCTGGTCCTTCTTCATTCTGTATTGTCGGTAGATAAACGGCACTCCAAGTGTCACCCTCATCCTGCTCCTTGAATACGTCCCCCAGTCCAGACGATTGAAGCGCTTGCTCTTGGGAACCTTCTTCAGGATTCCCTTCAGGATCTCTTTAACAGGGGGGAGTGCTTGCTCTGACGCTGAGGCTGAGGCTAGAGGACAGAGATGCAAAAAAATATATGAAACATTGCTGATTTTAAAGTATGAGTCTGGCGTTATTCTACATTTTTCATATTGTTAATAATTCTCATGAAAGGACCAAAACCGATAATGACCAATAATGACAATCAACATTAGCTGCAGGCCTAATTTTCACACAAGATTTGTTGTTCTTTTTTTTTTTTAAATGTCATGATTGGACTTTCAGCCTTTTTCCAAACGCAGAATAAGTGGAATGTGATAAACTGAGCTACCTGAAAGGGAGTTTCTTTAATCAGAGTTTCAGACAAGAGTTTGACGTTTCTCACCCAGACTGTAAAGGTCCATGATGACTTTGTAGGCCACGAGGAATCTGAAGGGAAACTGTCGGCTCTGAATGACTGCTTTCTGTAAACACATCACCAACACGTGGTTACAGAAAGAACTTCATAAACTGTGCCATACAAACGAAACATTACCACCACAAATCTGACTCCTCTATAAAAAAAAAAGTCTCAAAATACAACATGTCACGAAACTCTCTCCTTTACCTTTACTAAATGTATTTACATTTTTTTTTTAAAAGGCTTCCAATTTTTATTTTAAGTACATGTTTCACTCTGTTGGAGCTCACCTTATTGGTCAGTCTGCTGAGGATCTTCTTGTGATGAGCCTCACTGATGCCCTTAACAATCATGTTCCTCAGGTTCCTCAGCATGGCCATGAATGGAAGAGACTTATTGTCTGCACAGGAGAGAGGTTATTCATCAACATGCATGATCACAGGCATGTTTGTGTTTATGTGTTAATAGATTGTGACAGCATGTGTAATTTCAAATGTATAAATGCATCTTTGGACTCGTGTCTTGTGTAAAGAGTGTTGTGGATTTGCCCAACCAGTGTATGCACTGGAAAATATGTTGTATTCATTGCTTTGTTGATTGTCGACAGTAAAGACGGACAGTCATTTTCCCACCGTCATGTACTTGGAACTGATGATACAGAAATTACAGTGTTCTGGCCAGCAAGCCTGTGCATGTTGTAAATCTCCCTAACAAGGTGGGGCTTTCATTCTTTCAAACAAATGACACAGACAACTTCTCGAAACTTATGAGGGAAAGGAAAAAAAAGTGTTCAAATTTCCTTGGATGAATTAAAAGAAACAGTTGAACACTTTGGGTATTTTGGAATAATGTATGTGCTCAGCAGACCAATGAGCTTCTCCCAGGTGGCGGCTTTGTTGCCCTCCCGGCTGAGCAGCCGTTCCCAGGTCTCTGGCTCTTTGAGCGTCATTCGCTGCCCGGCTCTCTCCCTGTCCCACACGCCCTTTATTCCACTGCGGGTAAACGCCTTCAGGTCAGCAGGATACCTGGGACCAACACAACCACAACTTTAAATGGAAGCAGGACAAGCCCAGTGACTAGCCACTGGGACAACAGAGAAAACACACCAGGCCTGAGACTGAAACTAAACAGACCCCTTTCTCCTTATTCTCCCCTCCTCTGACCACTCTGCTGTGTTCATATTGTCTAAACAGTAAATTATTCAAGTGCTGAAGGATAGTAAATGCTCAGTTTCTTCTAAATAAGGAGCTTTAAGTGTGTGAAAAAAGGGCCTGTAATAAAGAGTCCATAGTTCTTGTACAGGTTAACTGGACCATTCTGCACATTTTCATGAGGAGGTGGGGGTTAAAGTAAACTGTTACAGAATGTCCACCACTGGAGGAATATGTGAAGTTCTTGAGTAAACTGAAGTAGAGAGACAGATAGCGGTTCAATGTTATGTGTATGGCTTGCTCTGTGTGATAAATACTTAACACCAACTAAATTCAACCAGCTGATTCAGTGATAGTAAAACCGTGTGTATATCACATTTGTTTATAGCGTTAGCTTTTTGTGAGTAGCATAAAGGGAACTACACCTTCACCTCTGTGTTGTAAAATCTACCTTTTACTTTGCTTGTAGTATGCAGTGTGTGAATGTCTGTGTGTGTATGTGTGGCTTACTTTTTTCCCAGAATGGCCATAACATGTTCAGCAGGTTCTTTAATGTGAAGCCTCTTGATCATCTTCTTTATACTGAACTCACTCTGCTTTTTATCCACCACTTCCCTGCCCTCTACCTGCAACTGTGCACACATAAACCAGTGTTACCCATGTGAAGAGGTTTCTTCTAAAACTCCAAGAAGGTGGGTCTTGATGTTCAGAATAAATGTTGCCAAAACCTTTTTCATGTAACAATCTGCAGTGACTTAAGTACCTAAGCCTAGCTAAATTACTTGAGAAAACACTTACAAATAACTCAAAATGTAAAAACATTTATTAAAAAAAACTATTTAGTGACACCACAACAAAAATAGGTACTGTATATGGACTTACAAACTTCTTCAGAATAGATGCATCTGTTCTGAGAAAGTTCGCCCACAGGGTCAGCTGCTGATCAGTTGGTTTCTGGAAATCAATGACAGCGTACATAGAACAAACCATGGTGATCAAGAGAGGATATCTGAGCCACTTATGCACAGAATGTTAATTTAGAGCGATGACTCAATTGTACAAAATAGAAACCGCACAAACTTTGATATATTTTTAGTGGAGGTGTTAAACAGTGTGGGTGTCAAACTTTACATGTAAAACTACAGTGAAAACAATAAACGAAAGAGACACTGATACTGACACTGTTAACTATTAATAACAGGGATGTAATATTGATATTGTTTGGTTTAACCTTAGTTTTAACATTGAACTCCATGAAAAACGTTAAACTAAATTCTTCACTACCTTGGCATTGCGCCTGTTGCGGTTGTGTTTGCAGCGCTGTTTGCGTGTGTTGTATTTGGCCAGCTGATACTCGCTGAACTGCTTGAACTTGTCAGCCATTGCCTTCTTCAGGCACATTGGCAGGGAGTGGCTGAAACACTGGAAACAGACAAACATTGTTTAGGCTGGTCAGAACTAACAGCACGGATTCATCCAGAGTCAACCACACAGCGGGCGCTCGCTATGACTTACTGTACTATAGATTCGGACTACTTCCAGCCAGTCTGAGGGCAGCTGTACAGCAGCACAGAAGTATCTGCGGACATGTGGCTTGGTGGAGGGCTGACTGGCAGCCAGAGCCAATAAGAAGTTTGCTGTGATGCGGATGTTCAACTCCTGGCGAGTGTAAACTGCCACCTGAGTGTCAAAAGAAAGAACAAGTACACCACACATGACTGATGAAAACGATTAGAAGCCTTTACTGTCATAATGTGTACAGTCCTCTTTGATTGTTTTCACTGTGCAACAAAGACAGTCATGTTTCAGTAACTGATCTGAAAATAAATTCCACTGTCCTGTTTGTTTGGCAAAAAAGAAGCTAATGCAGCACAAGCTATGTTCAAGAAATATTTTAATAAAACGGATTAAAATATTTCTATTTTCTACTGATTCTAGAGATTTCCATCATAACTGGTGGTGGTGCAGTGGATAAGACACATGCCTTTGGTGTAAGAGACTCAGGTTCAATTCCCCACTGTGACACACCCACCAATTTGTCCCTGAGCAAGACACTTAACCCCTCGTTGCTCCAGAGGCGTGCGACCTCTGACATATATTGCAATTGTAAGTCGCTTTGAATAAAAGCGTCAGCTAAATGACTAAATGTGAACTGATACAATACATTTTTTTCTGGGTTGTTTTGCTTGATCATAACAACCTAATGAAGTCCCAGTAGAGTTGAAACATCATCACTTTAGTTAAAATAGCAGTTGTAGAGCTACAATCCAGTTTACAAATAAAAATGCCTTCAGATACATAGCCCTACAGACAGCCACCATGCATACGCACCTTGAGAAGAAACTGTGGGTCACAGACAGAGATGTCCTTCGCCAGATTTGTGATCCTGGTCCAAACACTGTCCTCTGAGTCCCAGTCTTTCTGGCCTGGTGCTTTGCACTTCTTGACCAGGGAGCAACACACCTCGTTCAGCAGGAGATACTAAGGAAAACACAGAAAGATAATTAAGTATGTGTTCACAACTCAGATGAATCACTATAATCAACACATAAAATTAAGTGCACAGGAAAATTATTTGGTAGCACTGGCGCAGAAAAGATTTTTTCTACATACATATTTTCTCCTACCTTTTTATCATTCAGCTCCTCTTCAACAATTTCATTTCCTCTATCAAACTCAGCAAATTCCTCCTGCCTGTTGACCAGAGCTTGTTCGAAATCCTCGCTGCCCAATTCTGTTTCCAGGACAGGTAATATCATGGCTGTCCCAGCGTCATCATCCTCCACCTCCATCTCCTCTTCGGGCAAAACGTCATCTTCCTCAGAATGTGTCTGATGCAGGAGAAGTAGCATTAAAACAGTAATACTGCCCAAAAGGGACGCATCAACAACAGTGTTTTAGCAACAAAGGTAATTTTATTTGGTCAAAAAAGTAAAACAAATTTCATTTACCACACTTGTTTCTTCAAAAGAGGACTGCATCACTTCAATTGTTTCCCCTCTGCCTTCGTCTCCTCCAACATCCCTCTTCTGTTCACCACCCAGAGCATGTTGGAGGACTGAAGGGGGATGAGCAAAATGACTGAGCAGAGCACTGCTGGCCAGGGATGTGCAAAGCAGAGAGTCGTTGGGTACAGATGTAGAGGAAGTCAGGGAAAAAGAGAGATGAGGTGAATGGCCATTTAGGAGCTTGTTCTCGGTGCTGAGGAGAGGAGAGGTGAGGGCAGGTGAGAAGGAAGAGGTAGAGAGAAAGGACGAGGAGGTGGAAGACAGGCTGGAGGGCTGGAGAGAGGGGCAAGCTGCAGAGTTTAAGATTGGAGGGCAAGGCTGGGGCATCAGTGTGGAGGTCTGAGCTAAGAGCTTATTCTCCAGAGGAGCATAGTTGGAAGACAAACTCCTTCCACATCTAGCATGGTGCGGCTCTCCTTGGGCCACATTTGCCTGATGCAAAGTCAGTGCCCTCATCTCTGTAAAGAAACACATCAATCAGAGGGTCAAAGGCTGTCAAAACGTTGAGTTCCTGCTCTCACAAACTACATAGTAATTCAGCAGCATTCTTCAACTGTTTGAACAAGCGTTGTACTATGATCTTTAAGGGTGTGTTTATTGAAAGCCTTCATAAAAGGAGAACAAAGTCTAGAAACAGTCAGCATACAGCCCCAACTGACTTTTCACAGTTTCATATAAACCAGAAGCATAGATAACATGCAAAACATTAGTAAAATACAATGAATGAATCCCTCCACATAGCTTGCTGCTCACCAGAAACACAGACAGAAAATGTTTTAATAAATACAAAGGAGTTTCAAGTTTTAAGAGCCTAACGTTATGTACTACAAGCCATGTCTTCAAATTAGCAGCGTTATCTTACATGTATTCAAACAAATGTTTAACATCCACAGCCAGTGGATTTAATTACCACAAACGAAGACTTCAACATCCAACACCAGGCAATATATTTACTAGTAGCCTTGTTACTTTCTCGCAATGACTAATGCGTTTGTGTAGGTGTGGTGGTTAGCTATAAACACCCAGATCAGAAGCTAAAAACTCACCACAAACACCAGAGTTTACCCTCCACGGGCCGAGCACTGACTCTGAACAAACGTGTCCTCTGGTGTATCTGATGTTAACGTTTGCTATAGTTCAGTGTTAGTGTGTATTTCGGACGCCTAGGGACAGTGTAGATGTTGATTTCCTCATGCGAGAAGCAGCTTCTTGGCTAGAGAGCGCTGACTGGTCAGTGTTATTTTGCACTCTTTTTTTTTTTTACCGTAATACCACATATATGCACTGCCACCATCAAATGATCAAATGTGAAAGCTGGAACAGGCAATTTATTTCACATGCATTTGTTGAAATTCTCTTTACACGCCAACAGCAAGTAATAAATCTCTGCGACAAAAAGAAAACCATCTGTGGCTGTTGCGGGACTTTAATAAACGCTGCCAATTTAAACAAATGCTTGTGAAATAAATTGCCTGATCCAGCTTTCATATTCGATCATATGATGGTGGCAGTGCATATATGTGGTATTACGGTAAAAAAAAAAAAAAGAGTGCAAAATAAAATAGAGATCCTGAAGAAGGTTCCCAAGAGCAAGCGCTTCAATTGTCTGGACTGGGGGACGTATTGAAGGAGCAGGATGAGGGTGACACTTGAGTGCCGTTTTTCTACCGACAATACCGAATGAAGAAGGACCAGCTCCTGAAGGCGAAGTATGAGAATATCCTTTGAATTTTAGTAGTTTTCTCTGCATTTAAAGATGCAGCTAAGAAGTGCCTGCTCTTTTTCATTCAGCAGGCCCTCAACGAACCTCCTGAGACCTCTGCTCACACCTGGGCACAAAGCCTGGGGGGGAAAGGAGGGGTCCAGGTAGTTGAGTGGCTAAACAATGACCATCGCTTTCTTCGGGAGACTAGGTAAGGAGGTTGTTTTAAGTTGTTTCATTTAATATAGATATATAGGTATGTGTTGATGGTCTTGCGTGTTTCATTGCAGCAAGCAGGTGTCAGCCTTCTCCTCTGAACCCACCTGTTTGGTTGTGAGCTTGGACGGAGAGCTGATGGTGGTTGGCACTGGACAGGGAATGCTGCATTTTATCAACACACAGACCGGACAGGTGTGAACAACCCCCCCCACCCACCTCGTCATTACATCTGTCTTCAGGGCCCAGTTGTTCAAAAAGTTTAATCTGGATCAGAATGATCCGGATTTGGAAATCCTATGTTTTGCTATACAAGATCACGTAACCCGTATTATTTTTGTGCTGGTTTTTCAAAGCAACATTGGATTGGATCGGATCACCCTGATCCAGATACAAACTTTTCAGGATTACCAAATCTGAATTTCCATTTCTCTAAATGAGACATCACTACATAGGCTGTTGATGATATAAAGATCAACAGGTTGAACAGCCAGCATGGGGTCACTTTCATTTGAAGACACAGAAAATGCACAATTAAAGATCACAAACATTTCAGTTTCTTTTAAACAGTCAGAACCCCCATCTGACCCACCTCAAATCCAAGAAAAACAAAGAAATGTACATTATTCATAGATACACTGTGGATATTTTGAGCACGTGTTGTCCAGTAGTCCAGTAGTTTAAAATAAAGATCATTCAGAGAGCAGCTTTTAGCTCTTAGGAGGCTGATCTCAGTCCCTGTCCGGTCACCAGCACTCAGTGCGCAGTCTCTGCTTCTCTCCCTCCTCCCCCATGCTTTGCTCTGGCTCTTTGTCTGGAGAGGTGAGGGTGTGGTCAGTTTCCACCTCCACCTGTGTGGGATGTTTCCAGGCTCACTTCGGAGCCACGGAGTCTCTCACCTTCCTGGATGAAGGACGCATGCTGCTGAGCGCTGGCTCAGATCACATGGTGAGCCATCGCTGCCAGTACATAGTGAACCTGGATCAGATAAATTAAACTTAACTCTCTTGAATTTAACCAGAGTAGCTGGATTATAATAATATAATTATTACACTATTTACCGGCTTAATTACTATTTAACCAAAAACTACAAATAAATTATGATTTGTTGTTTTGTCATAAAATACTGTTTTGTCAGTTCATTAGTTGTAAATAAAATTCACATAAATGTATGAGACATTAGGAGATTAATTTGCTTTAACACTCAAGTGCTTTTTAAAAGAACACATTGCATCAGAGTGCTTATTCGATGCACAGCACCCACCTGAAATTCAATGCAGACCATCAGCATCTGTTTCAGCATCTGTTTGTGAGCACACTGTAAATTCTTTTAAATGAATAGCCTCCTTTTTCTCTGTGTCCTGTCCTTCTGTCAAACAGCTCCGCCTCTGGTCAGGAGGACTTGGACGTTCAGTCACTACTTTTAAACGTGAAGAAGTAAGTGACAGAGTAAGCTCCTTATTTATCTTGTGTGTAAGTGTTAACTTCATGTTGCTTGCAGTTGCCATAGTCTGCGTGTAAATGAAGTGTTGAGGCAGGATTGATTAACGACATCTGGCATTTGGTGAAAGAATAATGTCCACTGTTTCAGGTGTCCGTATGTTCGTTGAAACCGTTTTTGCTTGCTATAATCACCCTACTGTTCATACTGGGTATTAAGTTATCTCTTCCTAACATCCAATGTGGGAGATAAGTAAGTATAAGTTGTATGTTTTTTAAAAGAAATCTTCTTTCTAAATGGATCCTGTTATTTGGTCTTTTAGTGCGAACTGGAGCCTCCTCAGAAGAAACGGAGGTCTCCAACCTCTGGACCTGCTGCTCTGTGTGTGGCTGTTAATGGAGACTATACTGCTGTGGGATACCATGGTGATGGCGTCAAACTCTTCACTATTGACTCAGGTTTGTTTATGTGCCAGGAATGTAAAATAAAAATCATCTTTACAAAATTCTTAAACATTTCACTAGGACCAGTATTTGATTGGACAACTTTGAGTTGGGTTTCTTCCTTTTTTTCTAATTTTATAACATATATTTCTTACACTTCTTTTTATTGTGTCTGTATTTTCTGTCTGGCTTGGGTCTTTTATCATGAAGTCAAGACATTTCAAGACATTTGCTCTGCTCTGTGTGTTATGAAGAAACTTTACTTAGGAAATTATAGGCTGTTTGGTTTTTACAATAAAAAACCCCACAAAAACATTAATTAATGAATAAAAAGCCAACCGAGTAACGGACCTAAAAACAAAACTAGTTAGCAGGCAATATGTCAAGGATATAAATCTGATACAGGAGTTAGAAAGCCATAAAACATTGATGGATATAATAATGAAAAACAAACACATAAAACATACTGTATAAATATGGCACAAAATGAATATGACCATAACAGTTTTTATTTTAATCGTAGGTAATAAGATCTGGGCCTCCCAGAACCTTGATGTGTCCATACTGTGCCTGCTGTGGGTCGTCCTGAATGCAGAGCAGAGCGAACCTGAGCTGCTGGTGTCTGGAGGAAGTGACAAACGTCTGAGGGTCTGGAAGAGGGAAGGAGGAGAGGAGGGAATGCTGGGAGGCCTGAAAATGTTGGGAACGTTTGGTGTGCAAACAGGCGCCATCCTGGCATTGGCACAAAACTCCACATACCTGGCTACAGCATCAGGTATGTGTTGCTGATGGTAAAGTAAAAACAAGACCTGAAATTACAGAAATGCACTTACACTCCAGAGAAATAGATGTTGTTTTCCCAGGCAACATTTCACAGCCGGTCTCCTAATAACTTTCTGCTAATAACTATTTTTATTATTTTCCCTTCTATAAATTAGATGACTTCACCATTGTTCTGTGGTTGCTGAGCGAACTGGCCCTCGACCCCCACATTAAGCCTCATGCATATCTGAGGGGCCACAGTGGAGGAGCCACCTGTCTGGCTTTCAGTCCTGATGGTGAACAGCTGTTGTCCGGTGGAAAAGATCAGGTACATGTGTTTGTACTCTAGTGTTGTGGCAGTATCAGAATTTTGTTTTTGATAGAAACACTGACTTTTGCTGCACATTGACCTTTGTGCAGGTGTTTGGTTGTTTTTTGGTTGTAGGGTTGGACTGTGTTCATTTTCCCTCAAATCTATATAATCATGATTTATTAAGTACCCCTAGCTGAAGCTAATGCAGTCTAAAATAACAGTCCTGTAATTAATCCTCCCTTCATCTAGGGTGTTACACAGAAAGGTGTTTCTGTTATTTAGCCTACCCTCGGTGATATAAATAGTGTAGGATTGGTCAGTGTAGCGCAGTACTGACTGGTGTCTTTGTTTCAGGCCCTGATGGTGTGGGATGTGAGTGTGTCTCCTGCTGTTCTCTCCAAGTCTCTCCCTCACTCTCACAGAGACTGGATCACCAGCTGTGTTTGGACTCCAGACTGTGTGGTAAATCTTCATAACATAATTTTCACGGGTGTCGTAAAGAAATGTAACTGAACTGAACAACAGCTCTTACCTGAGAAAGTCCTATTACTATACTGTTATATACATCACTATTGTGTTTCCGTAATTTGTTCCAGATTAGCTCTTCAAACGACGGGAGGCTTTGTTTATGGGATCTGCAGGCGGGCCAACGTCTCAGAGAAATCTCCTGGAGGAGTCCTCTTACATCTGTTTGCTGTGTGGTGAGTAAATTTATCTGTCAGAGAAAATACAATTTGTATTGTTACATTCTGGCCTGAAAAAGCTTCATTTCCTTGTTGTACTGATGGATTTAAAGAGCTTCGCAGATTGTGTGTAGCGTAGAGATTTAACTGCAGGTCAGAGCTGTCTTTGTTTTCTCTCCTGAGACATATAGTAAACCCTCAACGTTTATTAGGGGATTTCTGTGTTGTTGACTCTGTGTTTCTGTGTGCAGGGGCAGTATGTGGTGGCTGGCTGTGCAGAGGGAGCGCTACACGTTTGGACCTGGGAAGCAAGCACAGAAATCTGCCACATTGCTGCACACAAGCAGCGTATACACCACTGCTCTCTCCTACCAAATACAAGTAAACAAGTGCACACACACATTCACTCTCTGTATTTATCTCTCCCTCTTTATTTCATATTAAACAGTATAATGAGTCCTTTTTTAATATTCATAGTCTTTTGTGTTTTTGTATTTAAGATGAGAACAAAGAAGTCAACGCCGAAGACATGACTGTTTTCACTGCGTCTGATGATGGCACAGTGCAGCTGTGGAAACCGCTACAGGTCTGTCGGTCGAAATAAAGAGTTGTCTCCAATATACTTTAATATTTCTGTCGTATTAAAAGAAATTGTACTTACTTACTTTGAAGAAACTACAAGTGGACAAAATTGGGTTTTACGAGGTTAAAAATAAATCAATTAATTTTATTCACACATTTTCTTTGATTTAGTCTCATCTTTAGTTCTATTTTGAGACAGAGCTAAATTACTTCCGTAAGGTTCTTGACAGAAATAAGCGTGGACATTGTCACTTATTTTTCTGCTTTTGCCTCCCCTCTCACATTGCGTATATTTACGCACAGGTGGAGCACTTCAGCACCTTACACGGTCACAACGGTGCGATATGTGGAATTCTGGGAGTCGCAAAGAAGGACTCCCAGAATTCCTCTCTGTTTCTGAAGACTGCTCACTGCGATGCTGGACATGGACAACAGGTAATATGTTATATAATACTGCCTTTTATATACAGTAATACCATTTAAAAACCACTTAAAGATTTTGTAGTTAGTACAATGTAGTATTAGTAGATACCTTTTTATACATTCTGACAGCTGATTGTGTTGTATATGCATCTTTCCTCTGTGCTTTACCGTTTTGTCTTTGAATGATGTTTAATGGCATTTTTTGTAGTATTGTAGGAGAATTTTACTGTAAATGAAATTAAAGATAAAATTTAATAACCCTAATAAGGATAGTGGTAGCATTTTTATTTGTTTAAGCCCCGAGTAGTGTCTTCAGGTATTCTTACAGGCTGCACTCAGCTCCAACAGTCTTCACTAATAAGGCTGGACTACACTGAAACAAAGTATGTAAATCTCTTGCTGCTGCTCATGCTCATTGTTTCGGCGCACAGTGAGTCAGTTGAGTGAATCAGCACTTTTATCAACTCAGCTCAGTAAATCAAACCTTGGTTAAACTAAAAATGTTATTTACTGTATACAGTAGATTGAGTTCATGCACTCATTGCAAATATTCTGCCTTCGCATTGTGTAAAGATTAATTTCAGGTAAAAAATAGTTGTATCACACTAACCGAGAGAAACCTGCCTTCACCTTCACTGTGCACCGTGTGGCAATTGCCTTTTTTACATTCAAAGCAACCTGTGAAAGTTTAATTATGTCTTCAAAACGCACACTCATCCACTAATAGTCACAATGTCCCAGGTCAATCACATCAAGAGTTAAACTACTCTCTTCTCTATATATTGCTAGTCACAGTAGTCACCTGATGCTGCTCAGTGAAGGAGACGGTACTGGGTTGATACATGATATGTGATCTATCTTTTGAAAATTGTTCCATTTTACCTCTGTGCTCTGTCTTTCCAGAGGATCCTTCCTGCCTCAGAGGCCAAGTCACAGCTCTGTGCTACTCCCAGACGGATGATTTGGTTCTGGCTGGTTATGAATCTGGTTTTCTGGAATTATGGCAGCACAACACTGTGGTTGGCCACAAGCAGGTGAAGACATACACCAAAAAAGGATATAAACTGGACATATGTAATGTTTTGTGTAATCACATGATGTGTCTGTGTGTGTCAGGTTTCAGACAGCATCATCACAGCGGCCTGTTCCATGCCTGACAGCCAGTTTGCTGTCAGCTACATGAAACATAACGTTGATGTGTGGAAGCCGGTGTGGAATCAACAACATAGCACTGCAAGGTAAACAACAGCAACTAAGCTACCATAGAGGACTATCCTCCATTTTGATATCTTGTTTTTTGAAACCTTCATTCCCTTCCCATTTACAATAAAGAAGGGAATGAAAGCAACAGAATAAAACAATAAATACACTTTTATTGAATTGATAATACCTTAAATTTGCAGTTATTTGAAAGCTGTGAGAACTACACATCTGATTAATGTGCAAAATCAAAGCATCCCATTACCTACATTTACATTTTAATCCGTCTTGATAGAGATTAGTACTGATTTGGATTGAAAGCCACATTAGCAGGATGCCGTCAGACACGACTCTACTGCAGCCACCAAAAGACTCACTTGGAGCAGTCACATATTTGAACCTTTCGGCTTTCTGGGAAATACGAACTGGCTTCTGAAGCAGCTTCTAAACATTTCTTATAATCCTATAGCAGCTTTGCCGCTTTGAATAGTGGTATAAAATCAGAAAAGCGATAAAATTGAAGGATAATATTGCAAGGCACACTGTAACTTCCTTTTTTTTGACGTTGTACCAGTTCCCTGCTACTTGTCATGCCTATATACAGTTCAACCCCCACTGCAAATCAGTTCCTTTAACTTTAAACTTGCAAACTATACAAATGTCTCTAGGAACATTGAGGGCCTTCACTATATTTTTGTATCCTGTTTCTTGTTTATGAAGGACGATGATCTCTTCTCTTAACTTTTTGGACCATTCTTTTGACGTGGCCATATTTCTAACATGCAGTCAAACGTGACACTCAACAAACCCCTAGTCAGTTCAGGTATTTCATGTGTTCCAGCTCAAGCTCGCCTGGTGCAGCTAATCAGGTGTGCTTGAGCAAACACCTGTTTTGCATATTTGTGCTCTTGTGAGGGATTCTATTCAGAGCGTTGAATAATTTTGAGACATCATTATAAGCTGCATTTTAAGTTAAATTTGGGGGAAAAACTTTTGTTGTGCATTAGTTGTGTTGAGCTATTTCATTGATCTTGTTTGATCTGTCCCTTGCAAACAGCTGAAAGTCTGTACATTTTGACAATAAACCTGATTTGCAGTGGGGGTTTTATCAAGACAATATGAAATCTGCTAATTCTTGGTTAAACTTCATAGTTTTGACGATCCCCTCCAGACAAAACACTGCTTAGAATAATAATACAATTAACTAGATTGACTGATTAAACATTTGCATCCTCATTGAAAAATCCAGAATTTATAAATGTGCAATGTGAAAAGTCCATTGTCAGTGTGTGCTGGGGCTTTCAGGTTTCCACATCACACTTGTTAAACATCGATTTCAGGTCAGCTCAGCAGATGAATTTGAAAATGGACTTCCCTTGTTAAATTCTGCACAAACATAATACTGCACAGTAAAAGCTCAAACAGCCAAGTGACAAACAATAAGCTAAACACATTTTTGGGAAGAAGGAGACTTTAAGTAATGAGAGTTATAAATAAGTTTATATAGAAGAACTAAAGGGCAAAGAGCTGAAAGTCACACAAGGCCTTTTAATCTAATCTACTATTCTTATTACTGCAAATAGGAAACAGGACATTTCAGTTAGACAATTGTTCAGATCTTAAAAGTAGCCATACCAACATTTTGAAATACTCTAGTACAAGTAAATGTCCTGTATTCCAAACCTTGCTTAAGTAAAAGTATGTATTATCAGCAAAATGAAGCTAAATTATAAAAATAAAAGTATTCATTACACAAAAAATGGGCTCTGTCAAGGTTACAATTTTTTGTTTTGTTATTTTTGTTATATGGTCATGTGGCTTATTTGAAAATGTACAATATTTACCTCTGAAATATAGGGGCATATAGTAGCATAAAATTAAAACACTTAAGTACAATTCTAAGGTATTTGTATAAGTACAGTACTTGAGTAAATGTATTACATTATTTTACACCACAGTAGTCTGATAGTCATGCAAACTCTCAGGTACACTCCCTGATATTGTAAGGGGAGTTGTTGATGTTTTGAAACACCTCTGTAAGTTGTGTTGGGTTTCAGAGCATGTGCGATAAAATGGAGGTCAATTTGTGAGCGACTTGGAGTTAGATTTTACAGACTAACCAGTGCTGCTCTGTCATGTGTTTCTGTTTCTCCCAGCCTGGTGAAAGTAGCCACGTACATGGTGGAGGAGCCAGTGGTCCGCCTCTACTACTGCTCAGTTCTTCTCGGTGTATCAAACGCTGGGACAATATTTAACGTTAACGGGACTGGAGGAGAGGGAGAGGAGGACGTTGGGGAAGTACAGGCACAGGGAACCAAGGAGTCAGGGGACCAGGGAGCCGGGGAACACAGGGGCCGAGGAAGCGAGGAGAGGCGGGGAAACAGGGAGGACGCCGTGAGGGAAGTCCGAAGAGGAGTGGGCCAGTGGATGAGCCCAGCCGAACGGAGGACGAGGGTGAGTGTACCTGGGAGGGAGACAGACAGAGAGACAAGGTTAGGGAAGACAGCGACAAGGCACAGGGTAAGTGTGAAAAAACAAGAAACATGGACGCTTGAACACAGAAGTGGCACCAGGTATGGAGCAACGACGATCAAGTGAGGATGGTGTGGAGAACCGGGGTAGAAATACAGGCTGGGATGAGGTGATTATTGGCAGGTGTGGCAGGCTGACGAGGTGGCTGGTGCAGGTAGTTGGCTGAGCTCAGGAGCAGAGGGAGAGAGAGAGCACACAGGGGAGAAAACACAGGGAGGCAGGCAGAGAACAGAAAACCAAGGGAAAAAACTGAAAAACTGAAAAAAAGGAGAAAAAACCAGGACACTCACCGTCAGCCGGGCTGCCACCACAACAGAAACTGATATTTCCAGGACCTTGTAAATCCACTGATTTTAAATGTAATATTTAACTTTTCGCGAGTGCAGCTTCTATTGACATACAGTTAAGCTCAGTTCTAAATATGGTGCAGTTGGGTTTTATTTCTTATACTGTATACTAAGAGGTTTTATTTTTTTAAGCCCCAAATAATTAAAACAAACCAAATGCTTCTTGTATATTTGGCTTTATTGCAGTTGGAGCCACAATATGAAAGTTTTGGGGATGATCCATAACGACAAGAAGAGCATGTGGGTCGTGGGCGAGTCAGAGGAAAGCATTGCGATTGGCTTCATTGTGAGTCAAATAAGAGTAATAATCTAAGAACACTAAAATAGTCATACTATTAAAATGTTTGTTGTAGCTTGTTTTTTTTTTTTTTCATGAACAGAAAATACATACTATTGTGAATTAAATAATACTACTTGGCAAAAACTGGTATTTTTACAGCAAAATATTCATTCATCAAAACAAAAATTCCAGTTTAGATTGACATGACAAACAAATCCATTTTCTAAGCAGTCCCTACAATTCTATTAGTATATGTTAATGCCTCTGTCCTCTTTTTCTTCAGTTTTTCATGGGCCCCAAATGGGATCTCAGTTCAGCTTTCAGCAAACTACAGACCAACGATGAGGAGAAGAGGAGTCTGATTACAGCTGTAACTGTGGACAAAGGTACTAAATTCTCCCAGCAATACTGTTTGCAGTGCAGCTGTACTACTAGTACTACTCTTACTTACAAGCACAACCATAATTACAACAGCTACTTCTGGACCTACCAGCTTTTAATTAGTATGTTTATTGTGCAATTATCTAATGTGTTGTATGTTTCTTCAGGCTTTGTTGTGTCTGGAGACGTGAGGGGCAACATGTGGTTCCTCCAGCTTACAGGGGATTTCTCATGGAGCAGCAGAAAACCTGTAAGAGCTGAGAGACTCTTGACTAAGTGATTAGTGTATATTTTTATATTGTACCATTCAACAAAAAACACAGCATTTGCTTGAATGAGGAAACAATACAGTTGATAAACATTTCTACATATAGTTTCGGTGAGGTATTGAAACTTGGTGTTCCAAGTACTGTACTTACATACAACTTTGAGGTACTCATAATTCCATTTTCCCTACTTTATCCATCTATTCTTTTCATTATGGGTAAAGTTAATACTTTTTTGATCCTTTGCCGAAATTCACAAGCTACACAGCATTATACAGTATGTAGCACTTTAAGTTTATGTTGGTGCTAATACTTTTGTGCTTTTACTTAAGTAAAATATTGAATGCAGGACTTTTACTTGTAACACAGTACTTCAACGTTGTGTTTTTGCTTAATTATAAGATCCGAATAGTTCTTTCACCACTGACGGAAGGTGGTTATTCAGACTTTCAACAAAGGCTGCAGCATTGTTTCATCATTGATTATTATTAATTTAGTTAATAAAATGTCACAAAATGGTAAAAAATGCCCGTCACAATTTCCTCGAGCCCAGGGTGAGGTGCAACCAACAGTCCGAAACCCTAAGATATTAAATTTGCAATGAAAGACAACAGAGAAAATCCTCACATTTGAGAAGCTGAACCCGACAGATGTTTGGCTTTTTTAATTGATTTTTGGAACTGGCGTTGATTAATCTTGTCTTCATCGACTACTGATCTTTTATCCCCAGGCCCACAAAGACAGGATCAGCGTGTTGAGACTCTCTGACCACACCATCATATCAGCCTCCTATGATAGGACGGTGAAGCTGTGGGACAGAAACACCAAGAAACAGGTACATCAGAGTCTTAAAAAGAACATTTTCACATTTTGGGAAATATGCTTATTTGCTTCCCTGGTGGATAGTTAGACAAGAAGATTAAAACCATTCTGATGTTTGTCTGTTAAATAAGAAGCTACAGCCAGTTAGCTTTGCACAAACACTGAACTGAAACAGCAGCTCTGTACAAAGTTAACAAAATCCAACTACCAAGAAAAGCACATAACCCACAGTAAAATAGGAATGTGTCATATTTGCACTTCAGTATATGTACTGATTAAACCGGCATGATATACAGTCTTAATTAGTGAGGTGCTTGCAGGCAGATTGTGTTCTCTTAGGACAGAGCCAGACAAGCTGTTTCCCCCCCGTTTCCAGTCTTTATGCTAAGCTAAGCTAACCAGCTGCTGGCTGTAGCTTCATATTTAATGGGCAGATGTTTGAGTGGCATTATTCCCTCACCTTTCATTTTTCAATTATTTTAAACTGTCTCTCAATAAATGATACCTTCTTCTCTCTCACCCTTTCCCTCCAGATCGGTATGTTTGTGTGTGGAGGTCCCATTCTTGAACTGGAGGTGAACCCTGAAAAACCCACTGAGCTGGTTTGTGGTGACGGACAAGGAAAACTCTACTTTCTCTCCTGGAAAGAATAATCCTAAACATATATATATATATATTACATGCCAAAGATTGCTAGAAATGTTTTGGGTAAACCTCTATATAAAAAAAGTCATGTTTACATGTGCCTTTTAATTTAGATGGGGAAAAAAACATGTCACAAAAAATGACTGTTCGTTATAATTATTTGAACTGAATTATTAATTTAATTAGAAAATTGTATTGGAAGGGAAATAGGAATGTGGGATATGAAATACTTGAAGTGGAAAAATCAGTGCAATAAATATAAGTGATCTCTTCTTATAGAAATTGTGTTTGTATCAGCACTTGTTAGGGATTACAAAAAGGACTCGTGAGCGGAAGTTGGCAGGCACACAGGCAGGACTTTATTTAAAGAGCACAGAGATGGGCAGGCGGACTGGCAATCCAGAGTTCAGGCAGGCAGGCAGCGACTCCGCACCAGGGTGAAACTGTGGCAGACAGGAAACAAGAGGTTAGGCAAAATCACAAAAGGTATTTAAGCAAACTAGGAAATAGGCTGGAGCGATATACCACTGTGGGTAAACGGACAAACTGGCGACGAGTGGAGACTGAACCAGAGCTTAAGACTGCAGGCGTTGATGAGTCCCAGGTGCGGAGTACTGCAGGTGGAGAGAGGCCAGGCTTGGACACGCCCAACCACACACAGACATGGGACAAGACACACATGACTGACAGAAACAACAGGGGCGGGGGAAACTGAGAATAAGAGGAAAAGAGGGGAGAGAGACCGACCCACGACAGCACTTTGTTGTTTGGTTCAAGGTTTTTTTTAATAGAATCAGAATCAGCTTTGCCATGTAGGATGGAGGAATTTGACTCAGGATTGTATCACGATGTGCTTACTCATACAATAATAAAAATCAAACACAGACTACAGCATATAGAACACATATATACACCATCCATCCATCGTCAACCGCATATCCTGCGTACAGGGACATATATACACACTATAAACAAATATATAGACAGATTGACAAATAGTGCAATGAAGCACTACGGAGCATAATCTAGATGTCTGCCGTCTGAGGCACCATCATGGTATTTAAGCCATTCTTGTTTTTTTGTTATAAAAGACTAAATAAGAAATTGAATTACCCATATTGATATATATATATAGATATCAGGTGTGGGCCTCTCCTCAGGTAAAGCCTGGAAAAAGGTGCCTCCTCACCTCCCCACCGTTGGCTTGCTTTGATATGCTGAATTCCTGTATGCCTATCATGAATGTTATATAATCACATAGACACTCAACAATTAAGCCAAGATAGGCCAATATTGCTGTTTGACACAACTTCAGACTACACTACATACATAAAAAAGGTCTGTTCTAAGGCATTTATTAGTTTCTGACCGATAAAGTGGGAAAAACAGTAAACTTCCCCCAAACTACTGCATCTGTGAACTCTCTCTTTAACCATATCACACACATTTAGGCTATTGTATGTGATTTACTTGTGATAACTAATAATGTAATAAGTAATGTAATATTTTTTCACTCACTCATTTAATGAGCCTCTTGTGAAACTGTTTAGAGTCACCTGGGTAGGCCCGTCTCCTACAACCTCTGTTGTATAGAATCCTTTCCTCACATAACCAATTTGTCATAAAATAGATTTCTTACCCAGCTGAAACCAGTTTTGCATTTAATTAGTAGCATTTTGCTCCAGGAATATAAAAGTTATATTCCTGGAGCAAGAAAAGGGCTAGTGACAATGTGTGTGAAGGGTGAGTATTTAAAGGTAGATTAAATGAAAAGCGGAGAGATAGCTGTAATTGCTACTTGCTGCATGTATTATGAGAACTCTGTGAGAGACCCTATTTAGCTGCAAGACATCAATAGCAGACATGTAAACACAGCTTATCAGCTAATGCTTTCACAACTCTGTTATCTGAGTTGAATTGCCTCTGTTATGTTGACAATGAGCCACATTTAGTGCATTAAAACATGTTAAATAAATATAACTTTACCGAGTGCTGGACACTGAATTTGAATGATTTCTCTATAAAGTAAATAGAAATGTGAGCTTTAAGGGGAGAGTTAATAATCACACAATAATGTTACAGCATATTTCAAATCATAGATTTTGTTTATTGCCTTATGCCGTGTTAGCAATTTTTTCTGCTTTATTTGCTATAAGATTTTAGCTTTTACCATAAATGTTACAAATGTTCAGCATCAACACATCACTGACTGCATAGATCAGCTAGTTTAACCTACGACTTGATTAATGGTGCAATAAATAAATATATAAATAAAAATGGTGGCAATAGGATAAAATACTTTTATTTGTTATATTCGTGTTGAAATGTATGCTTTGCTTTCTAAACTGAAGCACTTTGCATTATTTTACGTGGTTGAATGCTGAATGTAATACTGACTAAATGATAACAAAAGAGTCGCGTGGGCCATTTTTCTTCATTACGTACTTTTACTTATATGCAGGAATTTTGCTTGTAATATTATTATTAGTATTTTTACAGTGTGATATTAGTACTTTTACTTAAGTAATGGATCTGAATACTTCCACCACTATAAATGCTCAGACACACATACACAACTTCACACACATGCACAAGCTTGCCAGATTTAAATAAAACTTTAAAAAAGCTTTATGATAAAAGTGAGTTTTCAAGAGGGACTTAAAAGAAGAACAGATAAGATCATTGTAATCTGATGACAAGAGTTACACATTTGAAAGAAGGAATTTGAAGGAACAGTGATTATGAGCTGTGTCTGCAATCACTCGCTTGTTCACTCATTCACTACCCCCTGCTACTTTACTAAACTGTAGTAAATTGGTATTTTGGATAATCAGCATTTTATGTCACTGATAGGTGTAGTGTAGTAGTCAATAGGGTGTAAGTAAAGACATAGGACTATATTTAAAAAAAAAAGGAGACAGAAAAACACAGAAGTCTTTTAATTTTGGGTGTCATGTGACCTGCAGTTTTGACTTTGGCCACTACGTCATGCCAAAACATTAGCTGTGTCCCAAATCCATACCACATAGATATTACTGTAGCCTATTCAATATTGTCATAGTATAGCCTACTGTTTGAACAGGTAGTAAACAAAAACATCATTACTGAAAATAATAACGTGCTCATCTATGACGACAATACAGGGGTAAAAGTAAAATAAGTGCTGGTTTTCGATCAGTAGAAGTGCTTGCTTTATGGAAACCCTCAAGGAGCAGTGGGAAGTCACTCCAGCCTGTTTCCCCCTTTTCTTCAGGGAGGTTCTTTAACTTCACACTTTATCACACAGTATCAACACGGGGAACGACGGACACACTGTGAGGTGGACTGAAATATTTCAACCAGCAGAGTCACTCAACACTAAACTAGGGCAGACGTTGAGTCGCTAATGGTGAGTTAACATTAACGTTTAATGTAAATTTTCAACACTAACGTTAGTTAACGGTCGTATTCAAACGTCTCCTTGCAGCCTGTCTGCGAGACACTTTCATTTATGTAACGTTAGTTGTTGTAAACGTTAAAATAGAAAGAAAACAGTTAATGACGCTGGAATTGTAACGTTTGACAGGATCGATTCAAAGACCTGGATTTGGAGTGTGATGGAGGAGGTGTAGCAGTAAGTAACGTACACTTTGTTTACTGTCATTGTTTTAACGTTGCGGAGTTGGATTTATATAAGCTGCTTTTGCTAAAGTCAGTTAACAACCATGTTGTTTAGCTAATTTACAGTCTATGGTTTTGAGTTTTACCGACATGACCTCCATCTGTGTGACTGAAACTCTCAAAATACAAATACACAGAGCAGTCCAGAAGTTACTAACGTTATAGGGACAGTGTAATGTTTTGTGTTGTGGTGGCTCTTTTCTAGAGCACAATGGACTCCACATTAAACAAAGAGAATGAGGGTTAAAAATGCTGATTTACAGCTGCAATTTGAGTGTACAGTGTAGAAACTCTAGCCCTATAACATGGCCGGATAAATACTAGGTTCCTCCAGGGCAAAATGGGCCCCTGTTAACCCCCTCACATCAGATTTGCTATGAAGCAGTTAATAATTAACCACAGCACAAACTGGAAAAGTGAAGGTCAAATTTAAGTAATTAAGTTGGTGTTACTATCAACAAATCCCATGAAAAGACCAATGCCAACATATGTTAGGCCGTCTCTGTATATTGAGGCTCAGCCCCAAGCTTTCTACTGAAGATGAAAATCTATCTAAAGAGGTTACAAATATGTAATTTTTAAAATAGGCTCAGTCAAAATATTAATAGGCTTAAGGGAGCTGTATGTGACATTCACTTCCCCTAAATGTCGCACCAGAACACTAGCGTCTCAGACCAAAACAAATGGGCGCTACAGCCCACCAGACTACATTGAGGAAAAATAGTAAATTTACATTGCAGATCATTTTAAAACACACAGTCATTCAATTCAGTCATTGTTAGTCTTTCCACTGTTTCAACTCTGGTTTGGTAAAAAAAACAAAAACCTCTAGATGAGAAAAGAATCTACCATTATATGGCTCTCCTCAAAGCATACAGTTTCACAGCGTCGGACTCACATGCAAATGCGGCAAGACCGTCTACCAAAACAAAGCCATTACTCCACTATATCTTTACAGATCTTGCATATGGAACCTTTTAACAGGAGTAAATACTGCATTTGTTGGGGAGTACTTCTAGCAGCGGATTAAGTTGGTACAGGCAGTGTATGAGATATGAGTGTTGAGGACTGTAATTGTCCTATTGTGCTATTAAGAAACACTATACAGTATAGAAAGCGGTATATTTTCTACACAGTTAACCGCCCAAAGATCTTAAAGTTTAAGTCAGCTTTTTAATTTAAGTAAATAAAAAAGGTAAATAACAGCAAAGATAGTTATTTGAATTGAGTTAATTATAATATTTTATTTTGTTGATTTCCTGAAGAATTTCCTTGAAAGAACTGCTCCATTTAAACCCAAGTATTCACTAATTAATTATTATTATTATTATGGGAAACTTAATTCTTATATATGTTGAAGTATGTAAAGTGAGTGCACAGTCATGCTGTGCACTCACATAAAACTTTCTTAAGTAGACTTACCCTAAAACTTCAATTAATAGCTGAGTCCCAAATAGCCACCCGCCCTGTTTAGTGGCCTGGTGTGGGAACACATTTTGACAAATAAACGTTTTTTTTGGATGTATAAAATATATTCAAACCTGCCGAGTCGCCTGCTTTAGCTGCTTCTAAGCTGTTTAGATCGTTAATACAAATATTATATATACATAGTGTAA